CTTCAGTTGCCTACAAAATGAACCAAACTGTCAGTTTTCCTCTTAAGACTATTCATCATTACCACGCTGCGACTACAACCTGGCGTGGAGTGAGTCTTTGTTCTCCTTACCAAGTTATTTAGCAGGACTGAATGGCAACTATAAGCTGGTCATGTGATGTACTGTACATCTTACATGAAGACCTTTCAGGTATCTAGTTCGCCAGGCAATAATGTGAAAGTATCATTTACCTGGCTCATCATTTATGTATATACGGTTCAACCTGCAAGTATCGACACAGGGAGAAACAGTGATCACATGGAACTTTGAACGCATTCAGTTTTGTATTTCTGTGTAATTGTGACAAGATGACATTAAGTTGCCTTCACGCATCAGACCACAGCGTCTAAAACATACGTTTGCCAACAGATTTAAACTTTTTCTCATCACCACCTACTTTTAGCATCTTCACCGAAATTAAACTTGTGTGTGTGCTCACTCTGGTTTATTCCGTTCATTTTGGTACGATGATACTCACACATATGTATTTACGCTACACATGGAATTATCACGCACAAGAGTTTACGAAAGGGGATTCAATATAACAATATCTTTCCTTGAAGTTAGAATAAGATATGTGGATTCGTTATCAATTCTACAATTTAATGTCAGTATTACAGTTAAGGGTGACCCTTATCGGGCAAGTGATGTGGACCAGAAGCGTACAAGTGTGATGTAGTGTCAATACAGTTGAGTACGTTGTTCCGATTGAGTGGAGAACCCTTTATGTACACAATATGTGTGATACACGGTACAGCTCCTTGCTTTGAACCCAGTAGTATAAACTAGAGGATCACCGCTGATTGATAAGCAGTGGGGATGTGACTGTTTTGTGTTGTACTTCCAGCACTTCTGTCTAGTTATTTTGCCAAACTGTAGAACGGAGACATGTAAATCATGAATCATTATATAAGGCCAGGTTCCATTTGCGATATATCGATGACATTTTGTGTTTCATGACAACCGATCACAACACGGAAGCAGGGGGTAATAACAAAAAGTAATATTTCTGAAAACACGGAGTTTGTCTAGTGGTAGAACAGTCTGCCCATTGTAACCATCCATTATATGGCGTTCTTGTGTCCTGAAAAATAATGTCGTGTCGCCGCAGTGATGCGACTGTTTTATCTTCCAACATGTTTACTTAAGTTTCAACTTATCACAAGCGTATCACTTTTTTTCGATCAAAAACGATGATTAAGAACACCACCACTGACTTTTTGGTCCCGTACATCGAATTAGCGCTCGAGGCATGTATGTCTAGTACATGGAGTATCATTCATATACAGTCCTACTGACAGCGAGTGTATGTACCCCTATATCGAGTTAACGCTCGAGCCGTGTATGTCTAGTACATGGAGTATCATTCACAGGCAGTCTTACTGGCAGCGAGTATATGTACTCCTACATCGAGTTAACGCTCGAGCCGTGTATGTTTAGTACATGGAGTATCATTCACAGGCAGTCTTACTGGCAGCGAGTGTATGTACCCCTACATCGAGTTAACGCTCGAGCCGTGTATGTTTAGTACATGGAGTATCATTCACAGGCAGTCTTACTGACAGCGAGTGTATGTACCCCTACATCGAGTTAACGTTCGAGCCGTGTATGTCTAGTACATGGAGTATCATTCACAGGCAGTCCTACTGACAGCGAGTGTATGTACGCCTATATCGAGTTAACGTTCGAGCCGTGTATGTCTAGTACATGGAGTATCATTCAAATACAGTCTTACTCACAGCGAGTGTATGTACCCCTACATCGTGTTAACGCTCGAGCCGCGTATGTCTAGTACATGGAGTATCATTCATATACAGTCTTACTGGCAGCGAGTGTATGTACCTCTACATCAAGTTAACGTTCGAGCCCTGTATGTCTAGTACATGGAGTATCATTCACAGGCAGTCCTACTGACAGCGAGTGTATGTACCCCTACATCGAGTTAACGCTCGAGCCATGTATGTCTAGTACATGGAGTATCATTTATATAGTTTTACTGGCCGCGAGTGCATGTACCCCTACATCGAGTTAACGCTCAAGCCGTGTATGTCTAGTACATGGAGTATCATTCACAGGCAGTCTTACTGGCAGCGAGTGTATGTACCCTATATCGAGTTAACGCTCGAGCCGTGTATGTCTAGTACATGGAGTATCATTTATATAGTCTTACTGGCCGCGAGTGTATGTACCCCTACATCGAGTTAACGCTCAAGCCATGTATGTCTAGTACATGGAGTATCATTTATATAAAGTCTTACTGGCAGCGAGTGTATGTACCCCTACATCAAGTTAACGCTCAAGCCTTGTATGTTTAGTACATGGAATATCATTCACAGGCAGTCTTACTGGCAGTGAGTGTATGTACCCCTACATCGAGTTAACGCTCGAGCCGTGTATGTCTAGTACATGGAGTATCATTCACAGGCAGTCTTACTGGCAGCGAGTGTATGTACTCCTACATCGAGTTAACGCTCGAGCCGTGTATGTCTAGTAATGGAGTATCATTCACAGGCAGTCTTACTGGCAGCGAGTGTATGTACCCCTACATCGAGTTAACGCTCGACCCGTGTATGTCTAGTACATGGAGTATCATTCACAGGCAGTCTTACTCACAGCGAGTGTATGTACCCCTACATCGTGTTAACGCTCGAGCCGTGTATGTCTAGTACATGGAGTATCATTCAAATACAGTCTTACTGGCAGCGAGTGTATGTACCCCAACATCGAGTTAACGCTCGAGCCGTGTATGTCTAGTACATGGAGTATCATTCACAGGCAGTCTTACTGGCAGCTAGTGTATGTACCTCTACATCGAGTTAACGCTCGAGCCGTGTATGTCTAGTACATGGAGTATCATTCACAGGCAGTCTTACTGGCAGCGAGTGTATGTACTCCTACATCGAGTTAACGCTCGAGCCGTGTATGTCTAGTACATGGAGTATCATTCATATACAGTCTTACTGGCAGCGAGTGTATGTACCCCTACATCGAGTTAACGCTCGAGCCGTGTATGTCTAGTACATGGAGTATCATTTATATAGTCTTACTGGCCGCGAGTGTATGTACCCCTGCATCGAGTTAACGCTCAAGCCGTGTATGTCTAGTACATGGAGTATCACTTATATAAAGTCTTACTGGCAGCGAGTGTATGTACCCCTACATCGAGTTAACGCTCAAGCCGTGTATGTTTAGTACATGGAGTATCATTCACAGGCAGTCTTACTGGCAGCGAGTGTATGTACCCCTACATCGAGTTAACGCTCGAGCCGTGTATGTCTAGTACATGGAGTATCATTCACAGGCAGTCTTACTGGCAGCGAGTGTATGTACCCTATATCGAGTTAACGCTCGAGCCGTGTATGTCTAGTACATGGAGTATCATTCACAGGCAGTCTTACTGGCAGCGAGTGTATGTACCCTACATCGAGTTAGCATTTCGAGCCGTGTATGTCTAGTACATGGAGTATCATTCACAGGCAGTCTTACTGGCAGCGAGTGTATGTACCCTACATCGAGTTAACGCTCGAGCCGTGTATGTCTAGTACATGGAGTATCATTCACAGGCAGTCTTACTGGCAGCGAGTGTATGTACCCCTACATCGAGTTAACGCTTGAGCCGTGTATGTCTAGTTAATGGAGTATCATTCACAGGCAGTCTTACTGGCAGCGGTGTATGTACCCCTACATCGAGTTAGCGCTCGAGCCGTGTATGTCTAGTACATGGGTATCATTCACAGGCAGTCTTACTGGCAGCGAGTGTATGTACCCTACATCGAGTTAGCGCTTCGAGCCGTGTATGTCTAGTACATGGAGTATCATTCAAATACAGTCTTACTGGCAGCGAGTGTATGTACCCCTACATCGAGTTAACGCTCGAGCCGTGTATGTCTAGTACATGGAGTATCATTCACAGGCAGTCTTACTGGCAGCGAGTGTATGTACCCCTACATCGAGTTAACGCTCGAGCCGTGTATGTCTAGTACATGGAGTATCATTCAAATACAGTCTTACTGGCAGCGAGTGTATGTACCCCTACATCGAGTTAACGCTCGAGCCGTGTATGTCTAGTACATGGAGTATCATTCAAATACAGTCTTACTGGCGGCGAGTGTGTATGTACCCTACATCGAGTTAGCATTTCGAGCCGCGTGTATGTCTAGTACATGGAGTATCATTCACAGGCAGTCTTACTGGCAGCGAGTGTATGTACCCTACATCGAGTTAGTTAGCGCTCGAGCCGTGTATGTCTAGTACATGGAGTATCATTCAAATACAGTCTTACTGGCAGCGAGTGTATGTACCCCTACATCGAGTTAACGCTCGAGCCGTGTATGTTTAGTACATGGAGTATCATTCAAATACAGAGTTACTGGCAGCGAGTGTATGTACCCCTACATCGAGTTAACGCTCGAACCGTGTATGTCTAGTACATGGAGTATCATTTATAAACAGTCTTACTGGCAGCGAGTGTATGTACCCCTATGTATCGAGTTAATGCTCAAGCCGTGTATGTCTAGTACATGGAGTATCATTCACAGGCAGTCTTACTGGCAGCGAGTGTATGTACCCCTACATCGAGTTAACGCTCGAGCCAGGTATGTCTAGTACATGGAGTATCATTTATATAGTCTTACTGGCAGCGAGTGTATGTACCCCTACATCGAGTTAACGCTCGAGCCTTGTATGTCTAGTACATGGAGTATCATTCATATACAGTCTTACTGGCAGCGAGTGTATGTACCCCTACATCGAGTTGACGCTCGAGCCGTGTATGTCTAGTACATGGCGTATCATTCACAGGCAGTCTTACTGGCAGCGAGTGTATGTACCCCTATGTATCGAGTTAACGCTCAAGCCGTGTATGTCTAGTACATGGCGTATCATTCACAGGCAGTCTTACTGTCAGCAACATTAAACTGTTACGTCTGAAAATGTCAGTGTACCAGTTCATGAATACTTACGGATCAACTATACACACTCCACATATGCTCAACCACCCAGCATGGCGTAGTTGCGTGATCAGCGGCCCAGATTATCATAGTGTGTACGGGACTGTAGTCTGAATCATGTACACACAATCAAAGGATTTACTGAGAAAGGGAACCTGATATCAATATATTTTACTCATGTTTTGTTTTCACAATATGTTGTTATTTTTGTCTTATCACTTGGGGATTCTGAATCAGTAACATTAGTGACATGGGGCACGCAGTTTGGCGTATAATCAGTGAAAATCTGGACATTGCGTGGCATCGTATCGTATTTTACTGTTGTCCGGTTAGTCTGGCCATGTTGATTGGCTTTTATGAATCTGAAAGACTGAATGACAACTGTGAGTGAGTTAAGACATATAGTCACATCGGCAATATTTCATCCACAACGTGACTAAAACCAGTCATACTTAAGGAATACAGTTCGGTCTACAACCATGTATAGTGTAGTAAAGCACACTTTCGCCCTGAACTATTATAGTTAAAGCACGAGGACGCTTGCGACGCTCACGACGTCATAAACATAACGTCACGTTATCTATAGTTTATGGGTAGTATAGGTATGCACTAACGTTGGTTAAACATTTCTCTTAAGATAGTGTAGTAAAGTATCATATTTTGCCTAAGTATTAATGATTGCAGCCCACAAGAACCAGGCCAAAAGCACTAATGTGCTCAGCCCACCTAAGACCAAAATTCCTTCCCTCACCAGCCATTTAATAATGGAAATGTAATACTTACGCTAATGCTGTACTTACCGTATTAGTTAGGATGCATTACAGATAGGGCACAAGGGCTTCGCGGATGGCCAGAGAAAACTTACACAGACCTTCATGGGAGAGGTGGACACCATCCCAACAATACATATTAGGACTACTGGGTGTAATGTCCGGGTGTTTCACGACTACACCCCCCATCTCAAGCACTCTGTTAGAGATCCTCCTGTTGAGCTTCTTTCTTGACATTTCCACCGCGTCGAAGCAGCGTGCCCTGTGCCAATGCCTCCACGGCAGCATGTTAGACCAGACGATTGTGGTCTTTGGCATCAATAATTTGATGCGCAACAGATCAGCATGGATGTCCAGGAGGAGCTGGCTGGCCTTTACTACTGATCCCAGGTTGTTCGATCCCAGGTGGAATAGGATGGCCCTGGGATGCTGCGCGGACTTAAGTTGTTGCTCTACGATAGGAAGAAGTTCCTCCCACTTCATTCCTCCCCTGGCAAGCCACAGACAGGATGTCCACCTTGAGACAAACTGCTGAGCCCTCGCCAGGTAGCTTGACCCCACAAGCCATACTGAAACATAATTTTACAACGCAGAAAATTTTGATTGAAGTCAAATAGATATTTGTGGCAAACGTATATATGACTTAAATGAATCTGACCCCCATCTCCCAAATTTTTGAATAACTTGCTGACTCAGTCCATTTGCAGCTGCTGAGGTGGCGGCACCTATCCTGAAAGAATGAGATGTATAATTATTGGTGGGTAAGCCACTGAAGGCTAAGGCCTTCTTAATGACTGCCTGAAATTGATATCTGGTCAGATTAGACTGGTCAAAATGAACAAAAGCTGACTCTGCCTGTGCGGGATGTATTTTGAGATATTGCTCCATACCGCTGACAGGACACATTGGATGCTGTGGAATTGCCGTAAGTGTAACTGCTACCCCCTGTTGGGCTCTATCTCCCTTTGAGTGTCGCAGCGTCAAGGTTACTTGGCCAAGCTCTTTCCGTAATATGACATCTTTCCTTGCAATACCTGCTTGGCCTGTCTTACTCTGTACTAATTCACCTACCCTGAAAAATCCAAAGAAGGCAACGCGGAAAACTGCTGAGAAAAGGCATGCTTCAAAGGATGATGTACAGACAAATGGCAAATTTGAAATAACGAATTGTAAAAGATCAAGTGTAATGGGCTGGCGAATATCTGTTGTGGTGTTTCCTTTACTCATGCCAGCAAGGAGCTTATGTATCAGGAAATGCTCTGTACAATGTGCTATCCCCTTGAGTTTATGATAAGTGGATAAAGCTGATATATATGTCTTTACAGTACGTACTGAAAATTGCCTCAAAGACATGTAAGCAATGAAGTGTACCATGTGGTCAATTGGTACCCGCCAAACCTGATTCAGATTATGCGCTGCCCGGAAGGTGTGCAAGGTGTTTATGGCAGTTTCATAAGTTGCCCATGTGTTGCTGGAAAGTGACCGCTGAAGAAGCCTCTGTGCCTCCTGGTCTAGATCTGCCAGATGTCTTGTGGTACTGGTGTTGGTGTTAGATCTGCTGCTGGTGCTACTGTCTGAAAACGTGCCCACTGAAATCTCGAAAGAGCATCAGCAATAACATTTTCATTTGTGCTTATGTACTTAGCTTTTAAGAGGATGTTATAATTGAGGCACAACAGGACTAGTTTTCTAACCAGAGACATCACTCTCGGGGGTCTGCAAGACTGTTTGTTAATAATGTGAACTACAGCCTGATTGTCACAGTTGAAAAGCACCTTCCTATTTGCAATGGACCTGCCCCCAAAGCCTGATTGACAAAACAATAGGAAACAACTCCAGAAATGTTAGATCCCTGGTCACGCTTGACTCCACCCACTCCTTTGGCCAGGGACTATATACCCAGTGGCCCTGAAGTATGCTCTGAAACCTGCACTGCCTGCTGCATCTGTGAAAAGCTGCAATGTACTATTGTCATCCCAATGTGATCTCTGAAAGATCGAAATTCCATTAAAATTAGAAATAAATTCCAACCAGATGTTAAGATCTTCTTTCACTGAGCGTTTGAGCCGAATGCGATGAAAGGCTGATTTCACTGTACTAATTTGGTCAATCAATCTACGGCAAAATGCTCGTCCCATAGGAATGGCTCTGCAAATGAAGTTAAGTCTACCAACAAGTGACTGCAATTCTCGCTTTGTTACCTTCTTTGCATCTGAGGCCAACATCTCCAATATCTGTTGCCTGACTTCCTGAATCTTCTTGTGAGGTACTCTCACCTCCCTCGCCCCTGTGTCGATAACCAACCCCAAGAACGTAATGCAAGTTGTTGGTTGGACAGTCTTTTCAGGCACTACTGGTACACCTAAGTCTTGAAGGAGGTGTAAACAGTGTGACAGATCGTCACTGCACTCTTGTGTATCCGCTCAGCCACCCGTAAGAAAATCATCTAAATAGTGCATCATTTGTTTGTTTGCAAGTGTCTGCAATAAGCACCACTGCAGAAATGTACTGAACATTTCAAAAATGGAACATGAAATTGAGCAACCAAAAGGTAAACATAATACTTTCCTTGGAAATAGATACCAAGTAATTCAAAATCAGCAGGATGTACAGGAATGATGCGAAAAGCTGACTTGATGTCAAACTTGGACAGTAATGCACCTGGACCTAGTCTCTGTGCCATTTGCACCGCTTCGTCGAATCGTGCATAGGTAATGCTGGAATCCTGTTGAGAAACATGATCATTAATGGAATTCCCCTGTGGATAAGAGAGATGGTGAATTAATCTAAAGTCATCAGGTGATTTTTCCATTGTTACTATAGAGGTTGCCAACTCCTGTTTCTTCGGCACAAGCCCAATAGGTGATACCTGTATGTTCTTAAAGGGTGGGTTGATAAATGGCCCTGCAATTCTTCCCAAATTCAACTCCTTATCCAGTTTTGCTTGAACAACATGTCGACCATCTGGAGCCTTGGCTGATTTTTAGTTGTCTGCCCACCTGTATGAACGACAACCCTGGTACCTTAAACGAAAACCTGATTGAACACCTGAAAACAATAACCTTGCATGATGTTTATGCACACTATCACTGGCAAAACAAAGCCAATATGGGCATATTTTTTCAAATTTTACTGGAGTTGGTGCCATTGAAGTTATGCTTTGATGCATTTGGCCGCTTGTTTTGATGCACGCTGCTGTTTGGGGGTCGTGAGACCCCGTCCTGTCGAAAGCAATGTGAAGCCCCGTATGAGGTGCTGCCACATTTTCCACACTTATGCGGATATCTACATGACAGCCTTCAACATGACCCCTTATTGAAATCCCAACAAATGTTACTTGGGGATGGTCTATTGCCAGCATTGGTGCCGTTAACCTGTGTACCCTACCATACCTGACGCACTTTTGATCCGGTTTTGTTGTGGTATCATGTAGCGTAGCCACAACCCATCAATTCTGCCCCATTGTCTCAGTGGATCACGAGCCATTCTGCAACGAAACTGCTTATCATACATTATCCAGCCGTCACCATTATCCAGCCGTCACCCCCCAAATGTGACAGCCGCATTTTGTACTGCTTCCATATACGACAGCATTCCCTGCACTGTGGAAGGCGAAGAATGTTTTGCAAGGTAAATAGTAGCATGTCCAGGCTATTTTTTAAAATGACTAGATTAATATTTCTTTCTGTATTTTATCATTCATATATGCCTCAGAAAAGCAAAACACTTTACTTTTTGGAAATAGGTTCAGTGAAACCAAAAATACAGCCATTTCTTTACCTCAACCGGCCACGCCCACTTTTTCCATCCTGATCCAATTTTTGAGAAAACATGTCCAAGGTCGATATATTTTTAATTAAGGTGAAAAATGATAAAACATAAAAATCATAAATATGGTACATGTTCGTTCTCTTTATTACAGCTTTCAAATTGCGCCCAAAATGTGGGCAATAATTGTAAAAGTGTCAAAATGTTTGGTAATAATACAACATAATCTTAACATATTTGTGATTGTAATCATTTTCATTGCAATATTCATAACATAAAACAATATTCTTCACCTAAGTTTTATGGAGAATGAATTGAGGTGTGGAAGCCATCTTTCAACTACCATTTTTATGCGGAAAGATTTTTTTATATGAAACAAGATATTTCAAAGACAAGCAAAATATCACAATAGATTTATTCTCCATAGTGTAGATATCACTTACCACTGGAATGGCTAATGCTATATTTATTGAACAATCTTTATCTGTTTTTATAGTAAATGGTTATTATGAACAAACAAAAATAATAA